ACCTGGCTGTGTGGGCCCCACCACTCTGGGCTCTAACAGAGAAATTACTTAGGCAGATAGTGAAGGCAAAAGAATTTCCATCTCCTGTGTCATTGCTTTGGCAGTGGAAACACGCATGGCCTCTAAAGTGTGGGTCCCAAGGTCATGAGGGCCTGTGAGGTGGAGGGCAAGGTCTCTTTCCAGTCTGGAATGGAGGCAGGAAGGAGGGGGTGGGGAGCCTCATGTCTGCATGTCCTCCTGGCAGCAGGCCCCTGAGGACTTTTATCCTCCTGAGCTGCGGGGGTCCCTCAAAGGTGTCTAAAGCCCGGAGTGGGGCAGGGAGACCCTTATAGGCCTTAGGAGCTCTGGCCAATTAGTGGTCAGTAAAATGCAGAGGTGAACACCATAGAACCACAGGTCCAGGAGAATTTTTGCAAAAGCTCTGAGGGTGCTCTTTTTTGTTCTCCCACTGCAAAATTCTTTTAAAAAGGAAAAAATCCAGCAACGTCCAGGGAAAGTCAATACTGAGTGTCAGCGCGGGATGCTGCGGCTGATGTGATCCCGGTGTCCTGGCCGAAAGTGGCCTCAGAGACCGCATCTCCGTGCATCATGGCAGCAAACGCCATCGGTTTGTGGGCAGATGGCATCCCTGCGGTCATACTCGCTCTTGAGCGTGCAAGGACAGACAAGAACGGGGACCTCTGGGTGTTCCTTGTGTCCGCCAGCTTGATGCCCTTACTCCTCCTTGAAGTCCCAGATTTGCAGAAGCACCTGGTTCCTAATGGAGGCCGTGGGTCTCTTGGTCCCGGCTTACCAGGCAGCAGCGCCAGCCGTTCTCAACCCCGCCGCCTTCCATCAGGCCAAAGACTTTCTGAAACTGCCCTTCTTGGGGCCTGGAGGCAGCATCCTGGGCCTCCCTTGGGCCTGGGGCGCTGGCAGCAGCTCCACATTGAGGTCGCCTTCAGCCGGCAGCGGCGGTGGAGGTCCGTGAGCCCAGCGTGGGGAGTCCAATCCACAGGTGCCGGTCCCGGGTGCCCGCGGCAGTCTCAAAACACCTGGAGGTGACATCCAGGAGCACCACCGCGCCACCAGCAGGGAGACTCAGGGCGAGGCGAGCCCCTTAAGGCGGCCGGGGAAGAAGCAGAAGGCCAGGAAGGCTCCCCAGAGCTGATGTGATCTCAGGCCGCGCGCCCTGACCGAGTTCCTGGTCTCCGGGAGGTCTTGCCAAAGACGGTCTGGGCTTTCTGGGCGACGTCCAGCATGAGCTGGAGCTTCTGGAAGGCGGTCAAATGGCCCTTTGGAGATTCCACGACTTCGGATCCCTACTGCAGGATGCTCCACTGTGTCCGCCAGCCTCTGTTGTTTTGTTGCGGAGTAGCCTCGGAATGACTAGAAATAAGAACACTGGGGTGACCCAGTCGTGCCCCAGGCATTTCTGTACATGGTCACGGCAAAGGCAGGCGCGCAGACAGTGTCCAGTCGGCTTGGTGAGAGCTCTTTATGGTTTAGTGAGAGACTTGGTCCCGCTTGTGTCCTCTCATGTTTTCAGTTAACCTGAGGTCCCCCAGGGGCTCCTCTATCTCCACCCTATTCTCCTCGGGCTGAAGCACAAAGTCCCCCATTTTCTCCTCAAAGGGCTCACAGAGCCACTTCTGCAGGCAGGAGGACAGCGCCTGGGCTCAGTGGCTGACCTGGGAAGCCACATCTGAAGGAACTGCTGGGTGACTACGGCCATAAGTCAATCAAAGTAGACTTTCCCTGGCTTGCTGTGCTATATCGATTTTGTTTTCGTGTTTTAAAAGAGGAAGAAGGGACGTCCTAGGAAATGTGCCCGATGCAGATGCTGAGAAGAGTGATGACATGAAAAAGATTATCCAGAAGGAAAACAAGAGCTATTTTCTAAACATCTGAAATCTGTGTAGGCTTTTGGAAAAGTGAAACTAGAATCAAAGCACAATGATATAATTCTGGCAATTTCCACTGACACAGAACTCAGTCAATCTGAATTCATCTAAGGGTTATAAGGAAAATGGCGCTCCAAGAGGCACATATAAGATCACTCAGCTGCTGTGAAATAGGCTTACAGGCAACATGGAGTGTCAATTATCCACTATGTAAAGTCAGTGATACAGACTGGACTACTATCTCTATGGCTCATAAAGTCTTCTTTAAAGGACTGACAGATGATTTATCTCATATGCAGACAATGATTCTCAGCAGTTAACTGTGCAACTTGATAATATCAATTGCTTGAGAAAATCAGATAATTGCTTGAGAAAATTAGGACATTGCTTGAGGAAATTTGGTAATTAAATAAATTACTTTTTTTAAGAATAGTTTAATAGCTTGGCAAGTAGACTTTAAAATAGGTTGGTAATATTTTACAGGCTACTTTTTAAAAAGTAGCAATATAACATGATTAACTATGAAAATAATGTTGGAAACAATTCAATTTTCTATCACAGGTAATTTCACAAATATAGAAATACCATCTCAATAATTAGAAGAAGTAGCAGCAATTTCTGCCATTTTCATGCAAGTTTCTCCTAGTCCATTTATTTGGTTTTAAATAGTATTTTTAAAATTTGTTTTCAGACAGGGCTAATCATAAATAATAGAATATATTTTACAACAGTTGAAGGTAACAAAAGGCAGGTGCCATTTAAAAAATTGTAGTTGATTGTTTAAAAATATTGTGGGTACATAGTATGTGTATGTATCTGTGGGGTCCATGAGATGTTTGGATATGGCCTGCAATGTGAAATAAGCACATCATGGGGAATGGGGTATCCCTCCCCTCAAGCATTTATCCTTCAAGTTATAAAATATTCAATTACAGTCTTAGTTATTTCAAAATGTACAATTAAATTTTTATTGAACAGAGTCAACCTATTGTGCTATCTTAATAGGTCTTATTAACTCTCTATTTTTATACCCATTGACCATCCCCCCTTCCTACCAACAGCCCCAACTACCCTTCCAAGCCTCTGATAACCATCCTTATACTCTCTATGTTCATGAGTCTGTTTTGATTTTAGATTCCACAAATAAGTGAGAACATGTGACATTTGTCTTTCTGTGCCTGGCTTATTTCACTTAACATAATGATCTATAATGTTCCATCAATGGTACTGAGAATGACTGGAACTTAATCTTTGTTATGACTGAATAGTCCTCCATTGTATATATGTACTACATTTTCTTTATCCATTCCTCTGTTGATGGGCACTAAGGTTTCTTCCAAATTTTAGCTTTGTAATCAGTGCTGCAACAAATATGGGAGTGCAGATATGTATTTGACATACTGATTACCTTTAGTTTTGGTATTCACCCAACAGTGGGATTGCTAGATCATATGGTAGCTCAACTTTTAGTTTATTGAGAAACCTCCAAACTGTTCACCTCAGTGGTTTTACAAATTTACATTCCCAGCAACAGTGGACAAGGGCTCCCTTTTCTCTGCATCCTTGCTAGCATTTGTTATTTCCTGTCTTTTGCATACAAGTCATTTAAACTGTGGTGAGATGATATCTCATTGTAGTTTTGATTTGCATTTCTCTGATGATCAGTGATATGGAGCACCGTTTCTTACACTTGTTTGCCATTTGTAGGTCTTCTTTTGAGAAATATCTGTTCAAATCTTTTGCGCCTTTTTAAAAATCAGATTAGATTGTTTCTTAAAGAGTTGTTGGAGCTTTTCATATATTCTGATTGTTAATCCCTTGTCAGAAGAGTAGTTTGCAAATATTTTCTCCCATTCTGTGGATTGTCTCTTAATTTTGTTGATTGTATCATTTTCTGTGCAGAAGCTTTTTAACTTAGTGTGATCCATTTGTCCATTTTTGTTTTGATTGCCTGTGCTTGTGGGTATTGCTCAAGATATTTTTGCCCAGACCAATGTCCTGGAGATTTTCCTCAAACTTTTTTTGTACTTGTTTTATTGTTGGAGTTTTAATCAACTTTGATTTTACTTTCATATATTATGAGAGATACTAGTCTGTTTTCATTCCTCTGCATATGGATATCCAGTTTTTTCAACACCATTTACCAACAGTGTATGTTCTTGGCACCTTTGTCAAAACATGAGTTCACTGTAGCTATGTAGCTTTGTTACTGGGTTCTCTATTCTGTTCCATTGGTCTATGGGTCTGTTTTTATGTCAGTACCATATTCTTTTGGTTACTATAATTCTGTAGTATAATATGAAGTCAGATAATATAATTCCTCCAGCTTTATTTATTTATTTATTTATTTTTGCTTAGGATAGTGTTATTTCTTATACTGAAAGCATTCTATGTTATTTATTGTTAGTCTACTTTTATAGTTTTACAATGCTATCCTCTTTTACAAAGCTATGATCAACTCAAGGTGTTCAGATCAGGGTTAATTGTAGCTATTCGCAAAAGTAGCAATATTCTGGCTGGGCATGGTGGCTTATACCTGTAATCCCAGCTCTTTGGGAGGCCAAGGTGGGCAGATCACATGAGTTCATGGGTTCAAGACTGGCCTAGCCAGTGTGGTGAAACACTGTCTCTAATAAAAACACAAAAATTAGTTGAGGATGATGGCAGATGCCTGTAATCCCAGCTGCTCAGGAGGCTGAGGCAGGAAAATTGCTTGAACCCAGGAGATGGAGATTGCAGTGAGCCCAGAATGTGCCATTGCATTCCAGCCTGGGTAACCAAGCAAGACTTCATCAAAAAACAAACAAACAAAGGAGCAATATTCTGTGTAATTGTTGACAGCTTAATTCACTATTATGTGGATCAGAAAGCAGAGGATTCTGAATGCATGAACATATCTTTAACATTTCAATACATTACTCATAGTTACTAATGAACTAAAGAGAAACCAAGAAATTATGGTAATAGTTATATTGACTTGGAGAAATGTAGACATAAAAGAACAGTAAGATGAGAAATGTGTGCACACAGTCTGTTAGGGCATGCAAGAATAAAAATAGGGGAGAAAACACGAGAGTTTTCAACAGATTTCTGGTCATGTAAGTCAATTTGTATCAGTTAATTTTTAAAAGGTTTATTTACATGCAATAAACTGCACATACTTCAACTGTACATTTTGATTATTCTTGGTATTTGTAGCTCTATAAAACCAACAACATATTCAAATAAAAAGCATATCCATTACCTTTATTTGTGTTTTTCTACTCACTTTCTTGTGTTTTTCTACTCACTTTCTCCTGCCTATCCCCATCCCATCCACAGGCAACCACTGATCCACCTGCAGTCCCTGTGAGTTTCTATTTCCAAATACATGAAATCATAGGGTGGGTATACTTTTTCATCACTCAGCAGCACTATTTTGGAGATTTATTCATGTTGCTACATCTATCAGTTGTTCTGTTCTTACTAGGGAGTATTATTTCATTATATACATATACTATAGTAAGTTTATCAGTCACAAATTCACCTGTCCATGGACATTTGGACTGTTTTCAGGTTTTGGCTGTTGCAAGTAAAGCTGTTATGAAGATTCATGTAAAATCCATTGAGTGGGCATATGCTTTAGGTTTTCATCTCCACTGGAAGTGGAATAGATAGATATATGGCTATCATGTCTGTAACACGAAAACACAAAGCCTGACAAAACCCATTTCTAAAATGGAAACTCCACCAGAGAACCTTGACTCCAGCCTGGCTTTTGAGACTATGTCCTATGTCTGGTGCAATGACTGGTCCTGGGGTAGCCACATGACCCAAGGAGGACCATGTTTCAACTTCTGAGTTTTCACCAAGATTAATATGCATTTGTTGAAAGAGAAGCCCCTTTGCCTCCTCCCCCAGCTGCAAATGCTTTCAGGGATCACATCATGCTGGAGCATGTGGTTACAGTGTTTCCTAAACTTTGTGGGGAAAAATTGTTCAAACAGGTAAAAATGGAACAAATACGAAGAGAAAAACAGTCCAGAAATATCAAATAAAAAAGAAAGGGCCTCCATAAAATCATTTGAACTTATGATTAATTCATTAGTCATAAAACCAGTTTAGTACAAAGAATCATCCCCTCCACCACCCTTTATTCCTTCACCAGGTTTAAGGTACATTTTAAAACTTGCAAACAAAAGATTTGTCATTAACTTAGACACCAAAATCCCTTATCTCCAAGAGCAATCATTCAATTCTGTCCCTCTCATTGTTAGAATAATATGTTCACTTTATTCTGAATACACCTCTCCTTTACCCTTGTTTCCCTATTAAAGTTATATCCAGACATTTATTTCATTTTATATCAAAGAGACTGTATACATGTTCTTAATCTTAGAAAAAATTCTGAGTAATTTTTTGCCTCATATTCGATTTTAAGCTACCCAAGAAGCATTATTTTCTCATTTAGTATTTTAACTTTTCTAACCCAGGACTTTTATAGTAGATATTATGTCTTTTTCTAAATGCTCTGCTTCAATTTACATTTTAAATCTAATTTTTAAAAAGTGTATATTTTAAATATTTGCATCCTGCAGCTCAGGCCTAAATATCCCTTGATAACAAATATTGTCTTTTTTCTGTATGTTTTTCACATATTTCAATTGTGAGGTATATTGCCACAATAAAAGTTTTTGTCAACATAACAGAACACATAGGCAAAATATTGTTTCCAAGTGATTGGTGATGTGGTGCTTTCAGTCTAGTGACAATCCCTTGAAGTAATCATCATCCCTACATCCAATGAAATACGAAATAAATATTTCACTTTGTTTCTAACACTCACCCTACAAATATATAGCCTGTCACATACAGCCTGTAACACCAACATATAAAAATTAAAGCAGTTCCTTATCCACTCCCACTGCTTCACTTGACTAGCCTTAAAATATAATAACAATAATAAAAAATAAAAGCAAAACTGTTCCTTAACTTATGTTTGAAATTTAGTGGATAGACTATCATAAAAGCCCTTATATGTATGGAGGGCCTCTGTAAAATGTAGACTCTTAAGAGAAAAGTAGACATATATGATAGTTAAATTAAAAACACAATTATATGTAGTACCATCACAAATGCACCAGGACTTGTTTTAGAATGCATGATGTAATTGACTAAACCATTTAGGGCTCGAACTCTGAAACAAAAGGCATTCACACTTTGCGATTCTGGGGGACAATATTATTCAAAATAGAAAATTTAGAATTTCCTACTTCAAGTCCAATACAATTTTATTAAACTTTGCCACTTTCTCTAATGTTTGTTCCACGGAAGGATGGGTTAAATTAAATGCTGTATATGGCAGTATTAATCATTTATGCAGTTCCAGTTGACACATTTGAAAACCCGCCTCAAGAGATCTGGTTTGTTTTCTAGCCATGCAACATGAAGATGGCTTGCAAACATCCAAATAGAGTGAATATAATAAAACAAAAGCCTGGCTACTGCATATGGAAATCCATAATTGTCTTTGTGTGAAAGTCAAGATAAGTGCAGTGGGCTTCCTAGGAGCCACAAGTCTTTTGCTCAGGAAGTCCCTAGTATCCTTGACAAACTTAGAGAGGTCTAATGCTTTCATCCAATCTTCTTTTTTCCTCTCCTTCACTGGGTTAGAATTGTATCATGCTCTGAAGATTCACCCAAACTTTTCTTCCAACCTCTTCATTTGCCCTCATAGGTATTTCTTCTAATACATTTTGGCAGATTTTTGAAATTCTTCCTCAGCAATTGCTTCTTGCAGGATCTGAAGTAATCCATTTTAGGACAATGTTTTTCCTATTTAAGGAGAGATGGACTTGATTAGCTTTTAACAGGTAAGATATTACCAGAAAGTTTGGCATTTTCAATTCTAATATTTAATTCAACAAACTTAAAGCATAGCAAGAAATCAAAAGCCTGAGATTTTTTATTCAATCTTTTTAACTTGCTTATACCATAGAAACTTGCAGTTGCTTGATATGAGTGGTGGTTATTAATGAGTGTCAACTTGATAGGATTGAAAAATGCAAATTATTGTTCCTGGATGTATCTGTGAGGGTGTCGCCAAAGGAGGCTAACATTTGAGTCAGTGGACTAGGGGAGGCAGAACTAGCCTCTATCTGGCATAAAGCGGGCAGAAGAAGCTGGAAGAACCAGGCTTGCTGAGTCTTCCAGCCTTCATCTTTCTCACCTCCTGGATGCTTCCTGCCCTTGAATATTGGACTCCAAATTCTTCAGCTTTTGGACTCTGGGACTTGCACCAGTGGTTTCCTTGTGGCCACAGACTGAAGGCTGCACTATTGGCTTCCCTACTTTTGAGGTTTTGGGACTCAGACTGGCTTGCTTCCTCTTCAGCTTGCAGATGGCCTATTGTGGGACTTCACCTTGTGACTGTGTGAGTCATACTCCTTAATAAACTCTTTTTTGCATATACATCTTTCCTATTAGTCCTGTCCCTCTAAAGTACCCTAATACAGCATGTTTTTATATTCCTAATAGAAAATAGAAGATAACTATGGCTTATGAAATCCCAAGTTTGGGGGCATCATCTCTGGCAATCATTTTCTGTATAGAAAATAAAGCTCATAGTCAGGTTTGCTGGAAGAACAGTGACCTAGTATAATCCTGAAACTTGACTGTGAATAAACTTTATGTATTCGTTTCTTATTGCTGCTGTAACAAATTACCACATACCTAGTGGCTTAAGAAAACAGGCTGGACATAATGGCTCACACTTGTAATCCCAGCACTTTAGGGGGTTAAGGCAGGAGAATCACTGGAGTCTATAAGTTTTAGACCAGCCTTGGGAAACATAGTGAGACCCTGACTCTAGAAAATATTAAAAATAAGCCAGCTGCAGCAGGCAGCTGATGTCAGGGTATCACTTGAATGCAGGTGGTTGAAGCTGTAGCGAGCTGTGATTGTGCTGCTGTGCTCCAGCCTGGACAACCGAGTGAGACTGTGTCTCAGGGAAAAATCAATCCACATATTTATTACCTCCCTGTTGTTGAGGTCAGAAGTACAACATCAGTCTTGTTGGGCTACAATCAAGGTGCGTGTATCGTTGATTCTTTCTGTAATCTCTGCCCGGGGAAGGTGTTCCCTTGCCTTTTCCACCTTCTGGAGGCTGCTTGCATTCTTGGGCTAGAGACCCCTTCCTCTCCTCACTCCACTCAGATTATCCAGGATACCCACCATCCCAAGATCCTCAATTTCATCACGTAGGCAAAGTCCTTTTGCTATGTAACGTAATATATTAACCAGTTCTGGTTCAACCTTCCTGAAAACAGAAAGAGAAACATGGGATAATAGAAACAATTGCCCAGACATAAGAAGCAGTTTATAAGTAACTGTTATTCTGAGTCAGAAATATGGAACTCTCCTATAAAATCCGTTAATGAGTCTAAGACCACACAAGAAAAAGGGAGCTGCCCTTGATCTTTGAAAAAGAATTTTTTATGAAGTGAAAGGGCAAGTGAAAGCTGAGGAAAAAAATTAGCAAGCTCAAAATTAATCTAGACATAATATATTTATATTCATACTATCCTCAGTTTGTTCCAAATGACTATGTTATAAAATCTTTCTGTTTATTTTTTCTTTCAAATAAGAGGAAAAAATTTGGTAGCAAGCATGCCTTCTTTTATAGTCAAAAGTGAGAGTCCCTGAAGAATTTACTTTTTCCAGATTATATACGACAAACATGGATTCATAATGTTTTCTCATCTATTTACTTTAATAAAAATATCTCAGTGTGATGCTCAAGGAAAGGCTGCAAATCTTATATAAAGATATATCTTTTTAACTAATATCATAAAACTAAAATAAATTTATATAATTAATTGCCTTGAAAATTGTAATAACAAATAAAATAGAACTTATGCCTAAAGAAATGGAGACGGGAATTGTTCAGGTTGATTTTTCTGTTGTTGCTGTTATGTTTAGTCTGTTAATATTTCCCAAGTAAACTTTTTACAAAAGAGAAAAATTCTGAATAGAGCCTAAGTTTGTGTTATAATTGACAGTAAAATAATGAGTAAAAAATTGCCTTAAATGTATCAAATAAATACTTGTTATTCTGAGAAAAATATGCGATATCAGTTGAGGCTTAGTTAAAAATGCTGTAGTTAAGGCTGGGAATGTATTCAGAATACTTTAACTTTTAATTCCAATTTTCTATAAAACATACATATTGTAAATGCATACATTTTCCTTCAACCATAAAATCAAAGCTGTAATTATGTATTAGATAGTTTCAAACCAATCACTGATAATTATAGTGCATGATAAGAAATTTGCAAAAGAAAATATTTTAAATATATTGCCATTATCAGAAAAATTGGTATATTAGAGTTGTAACAGTTTTTAGATCTCAAATTATAAATCATACTTATTTAAATTATATTATATGAACATCACATTTACACACACACACATATATGTGTATATATTTAACTATATAATTCCAATACCTACTTATAACACTTTCTCATTAAGCCAAGTAAACTGGCCTGGACTAAGGCATTAAAACCATTTTCATATATGTATTTATACTTTTTTCCCCTACTTGTTGTAAATATTTAAAATTGTAGTTTATAGAAGAGAAAAAAAGGTATTTATCAATTCAATTGTTAAGTATAAGTTTATCCTGACTCTATTCTAGACACCAGCTTAGTCATACAGGGCAGATATAAAACCAAATAATCTTGATCTTAAATAAGATTGTAACTGTGATAAAATCAAAATTATTAACGGTAGTTTGTTATGTGGCATAGCATATAAAAGATAGAAGCATTTACTAACCATAGCGGTAGAGAAAAACGAACTCTCTATTGTGACATGAATTAAGTAGAAAACATTTTTCTAAGAAGTTAGCACCTTATCTGGGCTTCAAAGATGACAAGTTTTCAAAGAAAGCAGAGGTCAAGATTGGGGGGGGGGGTGTTAATGAGAATAAAATTATTATAGGCAAACAAGAGAATATGAAACAGTAAGAAGTTTTGAAATCACGTGGTACATCCAAGAAAATCCAGAAGTTCTGTGATGTTTGTGAAAAAGTGTAAGGCAATCTATGGATATAACTGAGAATAGAGAAGAATATGGAATGCAATAAAAAAACCTCACATATTGCATTCGAGTTTACAGACTTTAGTTTGTATGAAATGGGGATAAATTAAAAAGGCAGGAAAGAAAAAAAGAAACTTTTTAATCATGTTAACATTCAAATGGGAAGAAGTTTGAGAGGGCCTGGCCTAGAGTAATGGTAGAGTAATGAGAATGGTATTATTTTGAGTGATAGTAGAAATAAAAGGCAAAGAGCAAGGCAGACTAAATACTAAAATGTAGAAGTGGCAAGACTTGGCAACGATCTACGGAAGGACAGGAAAAATTTTCATATAATTCTGACTTAGACAATTCTGTAAGGTGGGCTCATACATAAGTTGACACTGACTAAAGTATTAACAAACAAAATTTCATGGGGGATGCAAGAATATCCCTATCAGACTTTCTAGATTTGAGGCGATTGTGTTAGCCTAAGTAGAATTATCAGGAAGGGGTTGGATGTAGCCGATTAGAATTTCATCTAGGCACATGTTGTAGAAAGGAGAGTTTCTACAGCAGAAATACCATTAAAAATTTTACTATATGGTCTTGGGAGAAGATGAGGAACACTAGCCTTGAATAGTGAGGTGAAACACTTTAGAATAGAAAGTCTGCAGGGAATGTGCCTATGGTTTGCCAAAATAAACAGTTGACATTTATTGAATTGTGCTGGGGCAAAATTAAATTACAGACTGTTAAAAATTAATTGCAGGCCAGGCGTGGTGGCTCAGGCCTGTAACCCCAGCCCTTTGGGAGGCCAAGGCGGGCGGATAACAAGGTCAGGAGATCGAGACCACCCTGGCAAGCACAGTGAAACTCTGTCTCTACTAAAAATACAAAAAATTAGCCAAGGGAGGTGGCGGGCGCCTGTAGTCCCTGCTACTCAGGAAGCTGAGGCAGAAGAATGGCGTGAACCTGGGAGGCGGAGCTTGCAGTGGGCAGAGATGGCGCCACTGCACTCTAGCCTGGGCGACAGAATGAGACTCTGTCTCAAAAGCAAATAAACAAACAAACAAACAAAAAACCTAAAAATTTCAGATAAGAAAATGGAGACATGTGAAGTATAAAAAGTCTTCTAAAAATCAAAACCCAAGGGAGAAAGAAGTGTTTTAGTGAGTGTTGCACTAGAAATGGAGAATTTTTGTATGGGGTACAGATATGAGCATTTTAATAAACTCAATAGAAAAACAGTACAATAAAGGCTGTGAAGATATGAGAAATATGAAGGGATACTGAGGGAGCAATTGCCCAGATTAGATAAATGAGGACTTGCTTTCTATTGAGAGAAGAAATAGGGCAAAGTTGTATAGCAAGAAGTAAACTTAAGCATATTGGAGAGCTGCTGGTGATTGGAGGGCTTTGTAGTAAAGCGAAATTTCATCTATTGGTATTTGAGAATGGTAAGCTCTTTGAGGATTGTTGAGATAGTAGTATTGCACCTCTTTGGAGAGGAATGGAATAAGGAGCTGAATACACTTGTGAACCCCAGATATCTGAGACAGGTCTCATTTAATTCAGAAAGTTTATTATTATTATTATTATTATTATTATTATTATTGACAGGAGTCTCACTCTGTCGTCCAGGCTGGAGTGCAGTGGCGCGATCTCGGTTCACTGCAAGCTCCGCCTCTCGGGTTCACACCATTCTCCTGCATCAGCCTCTGGAGTAGCTGGGACTACAGGTGCCCGCCACTACGCCCAGCTAATTTTTTGTATTTTTAGTAGAGACGGGGTTTCACCATGTTAGCCAGGATGGTCTCTATCTCCTGACCTTGTGACTCCCCCGACTCGGCCTCCCAAAGTGCTGGGATTACAGGCGTGAGCCACCACGCTCGGCCCAGAAAGTTTCTTTTTCCAAGGCTGAGGATGCATGCCTGTGAAACAGCCTGGGGAGTTTCTGAAGACATGTGCGCAGGGTTGTCAGAGCACAGTTTGATTTTGTACATTTTAGAGACATGAGATATCCAGCAACATATGTAAGATGAACACTGGTTGGGTCTGCGAAGGAGGGGCAACTCAAAGCAGAGATGGGAAGACTTGAAGGGAGAGGGGTCTTCCAGGTCATAGGTAGATTGAGACAAGTGGTTACATTCTTTTGAGTTCCTGGTTAGTTTCTCCAAAAGAGGCAATCAGATAGGCATTTATCTCCGTGGGCAGAGGGTGATTTTGAGTAGAATGGGATGCAGGTTGGCCCTAAACAGTTATCAGCTTGACTTTTCCCCTTAGTTACGTGCTTCGAGGGCCATGAGATTTATTTTTCTTTCACATTTCTCCACTTTTCTTTTTAAAAAATCTTTTGGAGAAAGCATTTTAAAAGAAAATGAATCTCTGGTCTCAGATTTTGTCTGATCTTTCATGGCTAGCATGGTTTATTCCCAGATGGGTAATTTCTGAGTTATTAAGAAAGCTCATTTTTAGCAGGTTGTGAATTCTCATGTCCTGTGAAGAGAAAATAGAGGGAGGAAGGGAGAAAAGCAACAACAAACAAAAGAACAATCCTGGAAAATGCATATAGACCACATTACTCTGAAGTTCATACATTAGTAGGCAGTGTGAAAGTGGCTTATGTATATAAATAGGTTGCTGTTTTCTTCTGAAATTTGAGTTGTTTAGCTTCAGTTCGCAGGGTTTTATGAAAGCACACCTTAGTTTTGGTGACTCCGAATTAGAAAAAAAATGGAAAAAAAAAAAAAAAGGAAAAAAATGGACAACATCATTTTGCAGACTTGTAACCATGAAAAATTAGAATTTTGTCCAAATTGTAGAAAATAATGAAAATGGAAAAACACTGGGCAAGCCTAGAATCTAACAACAGATATACTGTAGTTTTTGAGACTTTTTTTTCTCTTCAGTTTCCTGTTTTTGACTGATTTGCTTTATTATACTTGGCCTAATGATTTATATACAATGAATCAAGAATAATTATTTTTACATAAGCTTTCAAATTGCTTTGATGGAACTTTGCTCCATACTAGGAATCTCAGATAAGACTTTTTTAAAGCTGAGCCCAGCCGTGGATTTGTGCCATCAAATAGCTATGTGTTGGGTGAATTTCCTCTACTGTTGAGGTTCCAAGATAAACCTGGGGCTTCTGAGCCTGTCAGAAAGTGGCATTCTTTACTTACCACTGGTCAGAAATCTTATACAGGGACTGTGTACACAGAATATGAGGCCAGTTTTTCCAGGTGCTTTATTGGCACCATAGGGAAAGCACACCATTCCCGTCAAAACCTTGGTAAAATTACTAGTTTCTCGAATTGTGTCCTGTTACAGATGAAAACAGATTCTTATTGCACTCATGCAAATAACTATATTACCATAAGTTAAGAATACTCACAAATAGCTTCCAAATTCTGGAGAAATTAGAGAGAAAAAAATATGCTCCAAATTTTGTTCATAGGAGTATACTAAATTACTAAAAGCTGTTAATATCTCAAAAGAAAAGTTTTCTTGCCTCTGAAAAAACAAACAAAGGATCAGCAATGTTTTAAGCAAAAAGTCAAAAAGATTATGTCAGTCTTTTATTAGTTCAGTCATGCAGTCAATTACTGTTCTGCTCGATACTCATGAATATTTTAGCTCTCCATGAGAGCTAAAGTAAAATGGTAGGATGAGTGGTATTATTTTATTTTGTAAACTCTACACTTATGATATCTTGATTAATCAAATACTTACAAATGCCGTTTCTACATATTTTTCAAAGTTTTAATATAATTTCTATACATAGCCTACATTTTTCATCTGTTCAAATACTCTTCCTCTTATCCTTATCTTTAATATTGCCTCTATATTTATTATGTCCCTAATAAGGTAGATACAAACATTTAGGTGCTGTTAGATTCTTGGGGAAGTTATTTTGTAATAGGTTTAATGTTCATCAATTCACTTGTATCAGATATGCCTATGCAATTGCTATAATCATATTTTGCTTCATATTTTCCCAAACAGGACATTCATTTCCCTCATTGTCATTTTGTAGACTAGAAAATTTAAAGAATAATGTAACTTCATGTATTAAGTACTTAGAGAGTAATTTATTATATAGAGTACTGGCAATAAGGACAATTTGTTTTCCTGGAGCAGAGTCATGGAATTACACTGTAATTTCATGCCTGCCTTATGTGTGACAACCAAATATCTAATTTCTTCTATTTTTCACAGCTTCTCTTTTTTATCCAGTATTTTGATAAACAACAATCTAATTCTCAAAATTACCTCATAACATGTTGATAAAGTTTACAAAAACACTGATAAATGATATATATTTAAATGTCGGTCTAGGTCTATTTGCTAAACAATTGTGCCAATTAAATTGATTATTGTAATATTTTCCATTGAAAAAAATATTCCCAGTTACTTCTTCCCCCTTCCCTTCATGCACACACACTGACAAAATGCTACAACCAATTTGACATTCACTTTGAGAGGTTTTGTCTACAAGCCCACTCCCAATTCCAAGTACATTAGGCCTTCCATATCCTTGGGTTCTGCATCAGTTGCTTTTCCAATCAACCAACCTCAGATAAAAATATTTTAAAAATAATAATTCCACAAAATTCCAAAAAGCAAAACTTGAATTTGTCTTGTGCTGTGTACAAGGCAAGGTTGACTCCACATGAATAAGGTGATGTATAGGTATTGTATTAAGTATGATGAGTAATCTAGAGATGATTTTATATAAAATCATTTTATGTAAAAACTTTGAGCATCCATGGATTTTGGTACCTGCAGTGTTTCTGGAATTATTCCCTGATGAAGATGAAAAACGATATTCTTACCATTAGGCATGTGTGTGTTGGGGAGTGAGAGAAAAAGAAAAGAAACTTGCCTAAGTCAATTTAATACATGTATCCACTTCAATTATGTTATGATCTAGAATCGTAGGAGAAAATCTTAGTGTCTGTGGCAGGTTAGGAACTAACTTGTTCATATTTCTCTTATGGCATAGCTAGTCTTTCCCTCAAAATTACTAGAATTTTTTTTTCTACAAAGAGACCAGTACTGCTTATTAGAATATCAGATGGAGATAGTTAATGGCACTCACATTTATTTACAAGGCCCACTCTGGGCAGGTTCTTCCATTATAAATCATCCAATAAGCTACTGACTAGCCTATGTTGCCGACCTATCTGTGGTCTTTCCTAGTATGATTATAAAAAACCATTTTTTTCCTCATCCTCACACCACCATGGAGAGCATTTTTATAAAGCACCTTGAGAATAACTAGTGCATTTAGGCTATAGACAATAAATATAAGCATTTTAAAAAGGGTATTCCATTTTTATTGACAAATTAAAGGTATTTATTTGGAATATAAAAATCAGAAGCTAAGTGAAAGCCAAAAATACAGTCACTGAGATGAAAGCAACAGATAAGAAGAAAAAATAGGAGGTGAGGATGTGCTTAAATAGCAGATGGACATAATGGACAAATTTCCAAATAAAGAAGACAGTGACAAGATTTATAGTCATTTTAACGTGAAAAAGTTTACACCAGTGTGAAATAACTTCAAGAGACCATGAAAAAGAAAAACAGAAGAAAAATAAAAATATGATAAAAAGAAAACAGCAATGGTAGCTATATCCACCACACAGTATATGTTTCTTGCCATCTAGATCCCAGCAGGCCAAACAGAGTTACCTGGATGGCTGCGTTGCAGAGGATGGGTCTTGGTACTCATAAGAAGAAGTCCTCACTGAGGGACCAAGACAGCTGATGGTCTGTCTGTGCAATAGAGACTGAAACAGTACTAATCACTAAGTTTCTTATGCCATCCTCCCTCCACTC